GGAGATTATAGGTGTTGCATTTTGGGAAAGAGATATATGGCCATCAGTAACTTAGAAAAGAGTCAACGGGATGTGGAAATTCACAGACAGCTCAGAGGCAAGGTAAAAGAAAAATTTTGAAGAACCTGAAAGTTAAAAGGAGGAATGTAATAAATCTAGAATGTCTTTGTCACCTCAGGCTCCATAACAAAGTACCACAAACTGGGTGGTTTAAACAACAGAAATTTATTTTCTCACAGTTCTGGACCAAGGTGCCAGGTGGGCCAGTTTCCAGTGAAGGCTCTCTTCCTGGCTTATAGTTACCTTTTCACTGTGTCTGCACATGGCAAAGAGAGAGAACGCTCTCTGGTATCTTTCTCTTCCTCTTGTTCTTCTTCTTTTTTTTTTTTTTTTCAAGACATGGTCTTGCTCTGTTGCCCAGGCTGGAGTGCAGAGGCACAATCTCAGTTCACTGCAATCTCTGCCTCCCAGGTTCAAGTGATTGTCCTGCCTCAGCCTCCCGAGTAGCTGGGATTAGAGGCACCCGCCACTATGCCTGGCTAATTTTTGTATTTGCAGTAGAGACGAGGTTTCATCATGTTGGCCAGGCTGGTCTCAAACTCCTGATCCCATGATCCACCTGCCGTGGCCTCCCAAAGTGCTGGGAATACAGGCATGAGCCACTGCACCCAGCCTGATGTCTTTTCTTAAAAGGGTACTAATCCTATCATGAGAGTCCCATCTTAATGACCTCACTTAAACCTAATGATCCCTTGAAGGACCCATCTCCAAATACCAATACTTTGGGGGCTATGGCTTCACCATATGAATTTGGGGTGGGGCTGTCAGGGGTGGGGGGACACAATTCATTCCAAAGCACAGCAGCTCAGCAGACTTCTGACTGCCTGGGTAGCAGAACACACCTACTTTCTGCTGGAGGTTGAGAGAAGAGAGCAGAAGAGAAAGAACTGAAGATTCTTTGAGTTGGTGTAGTATACAAAAGGAATGCAAATTTTCAGCAACAGATTTTTCTACTGGGGATCCTGATTATCATTTCATTGTATGAAGTTCAAGATGCAGCTATATTCTACTTCACATTCTTTGAAGGAAAAAAAATCAACAAAACTATTTGTGTGTGTGTGTTTTAAGACAAACACAGTCTTTTCTGTCACCCAGGATGGAGTACAGTGGCATGATCATAGCTCACTGCAGCCTCAAACTCCCGGGCTTAAGTGATCCTCCTACCTCAGCCTCCCAAGTAGTAGCTGGGAATAGAGACCTAAATCACCATGCTCAGCTGATTTTTTAATTTTTTGTAGAAGTCGGGTCTTGCTATGTTGACCAAGCTGGTCTCAAACTCCTGGCCTCAAGCAATCCTCTCACCTCAGCCTCTCAAACAGAACTTTCATAAAGACACTGTGAGGAGCCCGGCATGGTGGCTCACACCTGTAATCCCAGCACTTCGGGAGGCTGAGGCAGGCAGATCATGAGGTCAGGAGCTCAAGACTAGCCTGGCCAAAATGGTGAAACCCCGTTTCTATTAAAAATACAAAAATTAGCCAGGCATGGTGGCAGGCACCTGTAGTTCCAGCTACTTGGGAGGCTGAGGCAGTCAATCGCTTGAACCTGGGAGGCAGAGGTTGCAGTGAGCTCAGGTCATGCCACTGCACTCTGGCCTGGGTGACAGAGTAAGACTCCACTCAAAAAAAAAAAAAAAAAAAAGACACTGTGAGGAAGACTCAGGATTCTTCAGAGAACTTTGGAGCAATTTAGAAAGACAGAGCTGCCAGGCATGGTGGCTCATGCCTATAATCCCAGCACTCTGGGAGACCAAGGCAGTGGATCACCTGAGGTAGGGCGTTGAGACCAGCCTGACCAACACGGAAAAACCTCGTTTCTACTAAAAACACAAAATTAGCCGGGTGTGGTGGCGCATGCCTGTAATCCCAGCTACTCAGGAGGCTGAGGCAGGAGAACAGCTTGAACCCGGGAGGTGGAGGTTGAGGTGAGCAGAGATCTCACAATTGCACTCTAACCGGGGCGACAAGAGTGAAACTCAATTTCAAAATAAATTAATAAATAATAAAATAAAAATAAAGTAAAAAGACAGAGCCAGAATAAACATCACCCATTTTCTTTGAAGCAGAATCCCATGACTGGATCCACACTGTGAAATAAAGGTCTGACCACTGGGGCCCAGGACCAGGGTTGAACTGGGGAAGGAGAGGTGTAAAATGTAGTTATGATAGTCGGGCATGGTGGCTCACACCTGTTATCCCAGCACTAGGCAGACAGATCACCTGAGGTCAGGAATTCGAGACCAGCCTGGGCAACATGGTAAAATCCCATCTCTACTAAAAGTACAAAAATTAGCCAGATGTGGTAGTGGGCACCTGTAATCCTAGGTACTCGGGAGGCTGAGGTAGGAGGATCACTTGAACCCAGGAGGCGGAGGTTGCAGTGAGCCGAGATTGCCTCATTGCACTCCAGACTGGGCAACAGAGTGAGACTCTATCTCAGAAATAAATAAATAAATAAATAAATAAAAATAAAATGTAATTATGGCAAGGTCAAGACACAGTTAACTACCTGCTAGGCATTCATTTTATTTCTAGACCCAATGGATTCAAAAAATATTAAAACAGCCAGACGTGCTGTAGCTTGAGTTTAAAATACACAGTGAGGTCACACTGATGTGAAGATGATCATAATGAGGAGGGTAGGCTAAATGATCTTTAAGAGCCTTTCCAATACTAATTCCCCTGCCTCTTCCACATGGATGTGCCAGTGGTTTCTGAAAACTATGTGCAACTTCTATTACAGAAGAGGATGTTGGCCCTGTTATTACACTGGACTAAGGAGAAGTAGTGCCAGTTTCAAGAGCCCAGAGAGGAGAAATGAAATGACTGAGCTGGCATCACTAATCAGATGAACTCAGAAAGGCTACCTGGAGCTACAAAATTAGGGAAGAGGAATAAACAAAGGGCTTTAAGGAGAAAATGGTAAAAGACTTCAGAGTTGCAGGAAAGGAACTAGGTATCCAGAAAGGAGAAAAGAGAGCTCAAGCTGAGGAAAAGGAAACCAGATCTGCTCAAGTTCTCAAAACATGAAAGGAATGAGAAAGACCACCTTAAGAAATTAAAGGAAGGAGGAAACAGGAAGAAAAAAAATCCATAAAGAAATCGACAAGAAATAGAAAAATCTAGCTACTAGCTGGTATCAAAAAAAGATCCTTACAATTTAAACAGATCTTGTCAGTTTACTCAGTCATCAGGACAGTATCTACCATATAATAAGATGTATACCAAATATCTGCAGAGTAGAAGAACGTTACTTAATCCTCACGACAACCCCAGGACCGAGAAGTATACAAGCCGAGATTACCATGGTGAGGTACAACAAAGTACAAAGGTGCAATATAAAAAGCCTAAAATCCAGAATGTGGGACACAGCCTAGATACAATTTAGGACAGGGATGATCTTTAGATTTGTGAAGGCTGTGAAATAATACAACAAGTCTACTTAAGTAGAGTTTTCTATTGAGAGGGCTCAGGGATTTTAAGAAGAATTTCAATGTGAGTTTATGAGGAACTGATGTACCACTAAGCTATTAATTTATGTTGAGAAAGGATTAGTATGAATGTGATATATTATTCATTCTTTTTTAATATTCATTCTTAAAATCAGCTCAAGAGATTCAAATGAAAATGAGCACAAAAACACTTTGGGAAGTTTTATATCTAGGTTATAGTTTTGCATACATCTACATAGCATCTGAATATCTTTTGGACATAAGTATTATATGTCTGTATTACACAGTAAACACCTTTAAAAACTCAGACTAACACTGCTATTTTGTTGCTCTTTTTATATCGTACTCCCCTCCCCCAGCAATTTTTAGACACATTCTCTCAGGTTCCTCATGTTGCCTATCAAAGTTATGAATACACCAAAAGGCACTTACTTTTTGGCTTAGATTTTGGTTTTTCAATAAATATTAAAGACACTTTTGTATTGCATATATTCATTAATACTAACCCTTTTAACTGGAGAGTCCGCAAAACATTGTCTTTCAAAGAAATCACACATTCTAATAGAACAAAACAGGTTTACACTATACCAATTCTGTATAAGTAACGTTCGTAAGTTTCCAACCTGAAACTCCCTAAGTGAAAGTTACCAGAAACAAAAACTGAAACACCAGGTTCCTGACAACCTCCCTCCCACACTGAAGCTCAAATTACTTGAGGCCGAATTTTAAAACACTGTTACTTCTCTGTAATTATGAAAACAAACCTATGAACACGTTATTTGTTACTTACATTTAACCGACCCTCCCCACCCAACCCTTTATATTAGGCAGAAAACTGAAAACAACTAAAGGCATTACATTTTGGTGTCTTCTTTTAAAACTTATTTTAAATTACTGCTATTACAAAACAACCCTCCCCGGCCGCCCCCACAAAAAAACCCTCATAACAGAATCAAATGAGCCCTAAGGCGAAGCAGGAACTACAGTGTGGGAAGGAAAATTTAAAAAGACATCTGTGTCTTTAATTTATTGCAATTAAAGTGCAGTCCTGGAACCGCTAAACACCCTGGCTTCTTGTATGATTTTTTTCTTCTTCCCAGGAGTATGAAGCGGTAAGGAAGGCTCAGACAATAAAATCCAGAGGTCAATTTAAAACACGCTGGGACAGTGAGCAACTATTGAGAAGCACCAAGGTCAATGTAATCTAAGGGGCGCCTCTGATCTTTTTGGGGTAGGTATTTCGCCGGACTTCAACCGTTGGGAACCGAGTTGGGGGCAAAAAAGTTGGGGGAAAGGGGAGGCTGGAAAGAAAGAGGTGAGTAATGGGAAGGGGAGGAGAGGAAAGGGGAGCGCGAGAGCTAGCCAAGCAGGCGCCGGCAGAGGGGAGGCCGGGCGGGGGGCCGGGGTGGGGAGAAGGGGAAGGGAGCCCCGGGCTTGGCCCCGGCCCCGCCCAGCCCCTGGGAGGCCTGCGCGCCCTCCGCCCCCTTACCAGCGGGAGCAGGAAGCCCAACAGCAGCGCGGCCGCGGCACGGGGCAGCCGCCGCTGCGGCCCCATCGGGCTGGTGGGAGCCGGGTGGGGCGGCGCGGCGCGGCTCACTCGGCAGGGTACGCTCGGGGTCCCGACGCTAAGCTGCTTCCGCGGACCGGACCGGACAGGGGCTGGCCGGGCTAGGATGGGACCGCCGCTGCTGCAGGGGCCGCCACGGCAGCGCCGACTTCCTCTTCCGGCCCCGCCCGTAAGATGCGGAAACCCCCGCGCCGGGCTTGAAGAGTCCCCGCGCTCTCCCGGCGTCCGGGCGTCCCGGCGCTGCGAGGCCACAGGCTGCGGGCCTGGGCCTGTCGTTTTCCGGCTGCCTGATTTTAACTCACGCTGAAGCCTGGCGGGAGAAGGGATTTCTCGAGGCCTGCTTCTCAAGGCTTGGAAGCGTCTGAGCGTCTGCTGGGTTCCCCAGTAACTACCCTAGTGTTCCATGGAGCCAGAAATCAGGGTCACCGTAATTCATCTGCCTGTCATTTGATCCTGGCCAATCTAACTCACCGCATAACCCAAATCCATCCACTTTCTCCAGAACTGTCACCACTCTATCCAGGCCACCAACGTCTCTCTCCTCCAAATGGACCTCAGTTTCTCGACAGCCCAGTGGCCACGTAGCAGTCCCAGAGTGATCTTTCAAAACATATAAATCAGATCGTGTCACTCTCCAGTCGTGTCACACTTGGAATAAAATCAAAACTCTACTCTGGCCTGCAAAGTTAAATGTGGCACCTGCCTTCCTGTCTTTCCATCCTCACTACTTTCCCACACACTAAGGCGCACGGACCCTTGGCCCTTCCGGCCTTTGCTCTGGTAGTCTTCCTTACTGGAGTGCTCTGCTCTCCAAAACTCAGAATACCTGCCTTCATGTATCAGCTTCAATGTTGCTTCCCCAGACAGGACTTCCTGACATACCCAATCTAAAGCACCTAAGCAGTCACTTTCCTTCTCCCTTCCTCCCTCCCTCCCTTCCTTCCTTTTCTTCCTTTCCTTCTTCCTTCCTTTCTTTTTTCTTTCCCTCCCTCCCTCCCTCCTTCCCTCCTTCTTCCCTCCTTCCTTCCTTCTTTTGTGAGATGGAGTTTCCCTCTTGTTGCCCAGGCTGGAGTGCAATGGCACGATCTCACCTCACTGCAACTTCCGCCTCCTGGGTTCAAGTGATTCTCCTGCCTGAGCCTCCGAAGTAGCCTGGATTACGGGCATGCACCACCATGCCTGGCTAATTTTGTATTTTTAGTAGAGACAGGGTTTCTCCATGTTGGTCAAGCTGGTCTTGAACTCCCGTCCTCAGGTGATGCATCCACCTTGGCCTCCCAAAGTACTGGGATTATAGGTGTAAGCCACTGTGCCCAGTCTGTTCAGTCACTTTCGTATCATGGTTTATTTTAATTTTCTGCATAGCACTTTTCATTCTATGTATAGGCTCATTTATTTATATCACCTCCTCTTGATAGCAAAGAGTGTCTTTGCTTTGTTCACTGCTATACCCTTTATATCTACAGCATTTGGCATATAGTAGGTCCTCAGATATTTGTTGGGTGAATATTTAATATCAAATGCTGAATAGGACAGTGTCCCTACCACCCCATAGCTCATAGTTTGGCAAGGGAAACAGACATGTGAGCAAACACAGTTCAGGGTGAGTAGTGCCTCTTGTTTGCACAAGACACCATGGAAATATCAAAAGGAGGTATAAAAGGGGTGCCAGGAAAAACACCAGCCTGAGCTGAGTCTAGGTCAGTTAATTTTAGCAAGGCACAGGGTAGAAGAAGGGGGACACTTCCAGGAAGAGTGAGCCATTAGTGTCAAAGCCAAAGGTGGCATTGAAGGAACTGCAAAACTTGGGCTTGGCTGAAGTTATGAGTGGTGAAAGATGACATGCGAGAAGAGGTCAGAGGCCAAATCACAAATACATTGGGACTGTTTGTGACTTTGGGCTTTGTCATGCCAGGGGTAAAGAACAAATGAATAATAAACGGGGCAATGACATACACTTTCTGTTTTAGAAAGCTCTCTGTGGTGGCTGGTAGGGCGGCAGACGTGTTGAAACAGGGCAAGAGGTGGAAGCCAGGAGACCTGTTAGACCATCTACAGCAGGCGTCCCCAAACTTTTTACACAGGGGGCCAGTTCACTGTCCCTCAGACCGTTGGAGGGCTGCCACATACAGTTCTCCTCTCACTGACCACCAATGAAAGAGGTGCCCCTTCCTGAAGTGCGGCAGGGGACCGGATAAATGGCCTCAGGGGAACGCATGCGGCCTGCAGGCCATGGTTTGGGGAAGGGATGCCTCATCTACAGTAACAACTCAGGGACAGTGAGGACTTGAACTGTGGCAGAAGAAATGGGGAGGAGGACATGGATCTAAAAGATTGGTAGAAGAATTTGGTGATTGAGAAGACATGGAGATAAAGGGAGAGGTACGTCCTAGTGTCTTGCCCTGGGCTATTTGTTAAGTTGGGTGTCACAGGTGAAGGAGGTAAAGTTGATAGGATAAATGACGGAGGAGAAATACTTTTGGATGTGAGTCCGAAATGCTTGTAGGATATCCACATGCAAGTATCTGTTGATTGATGGCTATGTGGGTTGGTCTGAAGCTTAGGGGCATAGTGAGGCCAGAACTGCCTCATTTGCTGCCTGTGAATTCTGAACTCTTTTCATACCTTCAAGTTGCCCACAGCAAGCCAGATCACCCCACCACCCTGCCTTTGTTTTTTTTTTTTTTTTTTTTTTTTGAGACAGAGTTTCGCTCTTCTTACCCAGGCTGGAGTGCAGTGGCGCGATCTCGGCTCACCGCAACCTCCGCCTCCTGGGTTCAGGCAATTCTTCTGCCTCAGCCTCCTGAGTAGCTGGGATTACAGGCACACGCCAGCATGCCCAGCTAATTTTTTTTATTTTTTAGTAGAGACGGGGTTTCACCAAGTTGACCAGGATGGTCTTGATCTCTTGACCTCGTGATCCGCCCGCCTCGGCCTCCCAAAGTGCTGGATTACAGGCTTGAGCCACCATGCCCGGCTCCTGCCTTTGTTTTTTGAGATGAAGTTTTGCTCCTGTTGTCCAGGCTGGAGTGCAGTGTGCCACTGTACCTGACCCAGGTTCCCCTTTTATAGAACAGCTGTGATGGACTAGATTATTTCATCTCTAAATATTACCTTCTGCTTCTCGTATCCCTTTGCCTAGTGAATCGCCAAATTGGCTCCTGGGCTATCGGAAAAGCTCTAGTTTTTGTTTGTTTTTATTTTTTGAGACAGGGTCTCACTGTGGCCCAGACTGAAGTGCTGTGGCATGATCTCGGCTCACTGCAGCCTCAACATCCCAGCTCAGGTAATTCTCTTACCTTAGCCTCCTGGGTAGCTGAGAACACAGGCATTCGCCAACACGACTGGCTAATTCTGGTATTTTTTTTTGTAGAGATGAGGTTTTACTGTGTTACCCAGGCTGGTCTCGAACTCCTGAGATCAGGTGATCTGCCTACCTCCCAAAGTTCTGGAGCTTGTGAAAGGAAAATAAGTCAGGTCCCCAAAATCACTAAGCCAAAAGGAAAAGTCAAGTGAGGGAACTGCTTTGTGCAGATCTGCCTCCCATTCTATTCCTTAATAAAAGATAGCTACTAAGATAAAGAGCTATATACCTCCTTCATAAGGAGTTTCCTTGTGGACAAAGGACAGGCAGAACTCAAAGTTATCCCTTTGCTCACTGAGGTAAATGCATATCTAATTGTTTCCTTTGGAAAGGCTAATCAGAAACTCAAAAGAATGCAACCATTTTTCTCTTGCCTACATATGACCTGGAAGCCTTCTCCCTGCTTCGAGTTGTCCACCTTTGCCTTTCCAGACGGAACCAAAGTACATCTTATACCTTGACTGATGTCTCATGTCTCCCTAAAATGTATAAAAACCAAGCTGTGCCCCGACTACCTTGGGCACATGTCGTCAGGACCTCCTGAGGCTGTGTCATGGGCACATGTCCTTATCTTTGGCAAAATTCACTCCCTAAATTGACTGAGACCTAGCTCAGATATTTGGGGTTCACAGACTACAGGCATGAGCCACTTTTCTGGGCCTGAAGCTCTCTAGTTTTCTTGCCTCCATTTGTGCTGATTTTTCCATTCCCTTGGTTGGAAAAAAACGATGTTGGCAGCCAAAGAACATGTGTTATATGGCTGGTTCCTTGTGCAATCTGCCTTTATCTGCTTTAGTTTTCTCAAATGAAAAATGTGGACAGTAGTACCTCTTCAGCCTATGTTGCATGATTGTTGTAAAAATTAACTGATTTGTAATGCTAGTAAAATTACTCTGAAAATTAAAAAAAAAAAGAAAGAAAGAAAGAAAGAAGGAGGGGCTGGGAATGAGAATCAGCAAAATAGAATGCTGTAATCTGAAGTGTCAGCACCATTTGTCATAATTCTTCTGCCAGAATGGTTTCTCTTTGGTCAAAGTCCCTGTGCAGGATGAAATGAAGGAAAATGAAAGGATTAATGGAAAATTAAAAGATTCCTGTTTAATGACTTTACTGCTGAAAAGGCTGTTACACATGAATTTCCCTGCAAGTATTAGGTAGGATAAAGAATATCTGGGTATTTTTTAGTCAGCATTTTTCTTCTATAAAGAAATTATGTATAAAAACACAATTATGAAAAGTAAGTATAAATAGATTAAAGGCTATTTTGATTTGTAAATATATTTAGTTGATAGAATTTTTTCCTTTTTTATTTAGGTGGAGCCTTTCGCTGTCTCCCAGGCTGGAGTGCAGTGGCGTGATCTCTGCTCACTGCAACCTCTGCCTCCTGGGTTCAAGCGCTTATCCTGCCTCAGCCTCCCAAGTAGCTGGGATTACAGGTGCCCGGCACCATGCCCAGCTAATTTTTTGTATTTGTAGTAGAGACGGGGTTTCACTATGTTGGCCAGGCTGGTCTTGAACTCCTGACCTCATGATCTGCTCTCCTTGGCCTCCCAAAGTGCTGGGATTACAGGCACGAGCCACCACACCCAACCAGAATTTCTTTCTTTCTTTCTTTTTCTTTCCTTCCTTCCTTCCTTCCTTCCTTCCCTCCTCCCTCCCTCCCTCCCTTCTTTCTTTCTTTCTCCTTCCTTCCTTCCTTCCTTCTTTCCTTTTTCTTTTGACAGAGTTTCACTCTGTTGCCCAGGTTGGAGTGCAATAGTGCAATCTCAGCTCACTACAACCTCTGCCTCCCAGGTTCAAGCAATTCACCTGCTGCAGCCTTCCAAGTAGCTGGGATTACAAGCACCCACCACTATGCCCAGCTAATTTTTTTGTATTTAGTAGAGACTGGTCTCGAACTCCTGACTTCAAGTGATTCACCCACCTTGGCCTCCCAAAGTACTGGATTACAGATGTGAGCCACTGCAGCCAGTCAATTTATCCTTTTTCTGTATAATAAAAGATAGCGTGTCA